GGATTGTTGTATTCTCTGTTCGGCTTAGTTTTTCGGATCTTTGCTGTGGAGGGACGGCGTGGTGCTTCTGCCTAGAGCGCCATTTTGCCGGAACTGTGGTTCCCAGTTTTTTAAGTGAAGCATAAGAGATACTACATCATTTCAGCAGAAAAATCAGATAATGACGGAACTATTTCCAATTACCAATTCAAAATGCCCTTACCATACCTACCACATGAAAGGGAACAAGGCAGTAAGGACTTTCAGTTCCTGGGTGTTATAGAACTCACACCTGCCCCAGGGAAAGTGCATACACTTCTGTGATACATAAAGACCAAAGAGTGATCTGTGTCAGTCTGTGTATTCCATGTTAGTTGTGCTTGATTACTTGCTTATTTTTTAGATTATGAATAAATGGATTGATAAAGAACATCTACAAAAAAACCTACAGCTAATATTAAACATAATGATGAAAGACTAAATGCTTACCCCTTAAGACTGAAACAAGGCAAAGACGTCTGCTCTCACCACTCTTATTCAACATAGTGCTAGAAGTCCTAGTCAGCACAATAATGTAAGAAAGGGAAAACGAGGTCTACCGATTAGAAAGGAAAAAATAAAACTGCCCCTATTTGTAGGTGACATGATAATTTGTAGATGACACAGAAATCCCAAGGAATCTACCAAAAAACTCCTAGAACTAATAAGTGAGTTCCGCAAGGTCTCAAAATATAAGATCAACATTAAAAAATCAATTGGGTTTCTATATACTAGCAATGAATATGTGGATACTGAAATTTAAAAATACAATACTATTTACAATTGCTCAAAAAAATACTTAAGTGTAAATCTAATAAAATGTACTTACATATTGAAAATTACAAAACACTGATTAAAGAAATCAAAGATCTGAACAAATAGACATACAGTGTTCCAATAAATGGAAGACTCAATAAGTGTGTATTATGTTAAGTTCAATGTCCTCAAACAATGCAATTTCTATCAAAATTTCAGCAAGAGTTTTTGTAGCTATAGACAAGTGTCTTAGTCATCCAGTGCTGCTCTCACAGAAATACCACAAGTGGATGGCTTTAACAAAGAGAAGTTTATTCTCTCACAGTCCAGTAGGCTACAAGTCCAAATTCAGGGTGTCAGCTCCAAGGGAGCTTTCTTTGTTGGCTCTGAAGGAAGGTCCATGTCATCAATCTCTCTTTTATCTGGGAGCTTCTCTGCGCAGGAACCTCAAGTCCAAAGGACACCCTCTGCTCCCGGCACTGTTTCTTGGTGGTATGAGGTTCCCATGTGTCTCTGCTCACTTCTCTCTTTTATATCTCAAAAGAGATTGGACTAAGACACTACCTAATCTTGTAAACCTCATCAGCATAACCTCATTATGGTGATAGAATTTACAACACATAAGAAGATCACATATAACCTCATCATAGTGATAGAGTTTACAACACATAAGGAAATCACATCAGATTACGCAATCATACAATACTGGGAATCATGACCTAGCTAAGTTGCTACACACATTTTCTGGGGGACACAATTCAATACATGACAACAAGATTATTCTAAAATTTATATAGAAAGGCAAAGGAACTAGAATAGCTAAAAACAATTTTGAAACACAGGAATGAATCACTCTACCCAATTTCAAGACTTATTAGATAGCTACAGTAATCATGTCTGTGTGGGTAGAGGGATAGACACATACATAGCTCAGTGGACCAGAAAGGAGAACCCAGAGATAGCCTCCCACAGCTATGACCAACCGAGTTTTGACAAAAATACAAAAGCATGGAAGAAGTATAGTCTTGTCAATAAATAGTGCCGGAGTAATTGGATATCCATGAGCATAAAAACAAAAACAACAGAAAACCTTAACCTCCCACTTTATACATAAATTAACGCAAAATGAAAAAAAGAAACTCAAAATGGATCACAGGTTTAAATGTAAAACGGACAATTATAACACTTTTAGAAGACAACATAGGAGAAAATCTTCAGACTCTAGAGCTCAATGAAGAGTTCTCAGACAAGACACCAAAAGCACAATCCATAAAAGGAAAAATTGATAAATTGGAATTAACCAAAATTAGAAATCTTTGCTCTGTGAAAGACCTTGGTAAGAGGATGAAAAGACAAGCTAAAGACTGGGAGAAAATATTTGCAAAGCACACATTCAATAGAAGACTAGTATCTAGAATATATAAAGAACTCTCAAAACTTAACTGTAAAATAAACAAGTCAATTAGAAAATGAACAAAAGACATGAGCAGACATCTCACAGAAGGGAATATACACATGGCAAATAAACACAGAAAAAAGATGTTCGACATCATTAGCCTTAAGGGAAATGCAAGTTGAAACCACAATGAGATATCAAGATATCACTGCACACTTATCAGAATGGTTAAAATAAAAAATAATGACACCACCAAAGGCTGGTGAGAATACAGAGAAACTGGGTCACTCAGACATTGCTGGTAGGAATGGAAAATGGAAAACAATTCAGTAGTTTCTTAAAAAATTAACATGCAGCTACCATATGACTCAGCAATTGTGCTCTTGGGTATTTATCTCAAAGAAACGAAAGCTTATGTTCACACAAAAACCCATACACAAATTTTTATAGCAGCTTTATCCATCGTAGCCAAAAGCTGGAAACAATCCAGATATCCTTCAATGGGTGACTGTTTAAACAGACCGTGGTACATCCGTACTATGTAATACTACTCAGCAATAAAAAGGAATGGACTACTGATATGTGCAACAACACAGATGAATCTCATGAGAATTACACTGACTGAAGAAAGCCAATCCCAAAAGGCTAATACTGTATAATTCCATTTATATAACATTTTTGAAATGACAAAATTATAGAAATGGAGAATAGATTAGTGGTTGCCCGAGGTTAAGGAGGGGGTGGAGGTGGGAGGGAAGTAGGTATGGCTATAAAAAGGCAACATGAGTGATCCTGGTGGGACTGGAAGTGTTCTGTATCTTGACTGTATCAATGTTATCCTGATTGTGATATTGTACTATAGGTTTGCAAGAAGTTATCATTGGAGGTAACTGGTTAAAGGGGACACAGTATCTCTAGGTACTATCTTTTACAAATGCATATGAAATTTACAATTATCTCAAAATAGAAAGTTTGTTTAAACTTAAAAAATTTTTAACTTTTTTAAAAAAGTATTTCAAATGTATGTACAAGCACACACATAAATAGAAGTTTTAGTATTTTCTCCCCACACCATACTGGATCATCTTAGGCATACTCAACTTTAGAGATTGCGGCCATAAAATACGTTGCTAGCCCCTATTTGATCTTTGGGCCCTATCTCTACCTAACCCCACCTCCCACCCACCCACCCCAGCTCTTCTCTGCATTCTCTCGAAGTTACCTTTCTTAAATGCAAATTTGACCATGTTACTTCCAAAAATAATTAGTCTGACAATCTGGCTTTAGGCCTCTACCTAACATATACACCCTCACACCGAACTACTGGCAGTTTCCAATTGTGTAAAACCCCATCTGACTGTGAGATACCTAAGGACAGACACAAGGACTTATCTTTTTACGGCTAATGCTTAGGGTGCTCCCTAGCACATCTGAGCAGTGTGATAAATCTTGACTTAAATAAGAAGCCCACTCTAAATGTTAGCTTTTGGTCTTCCCAGCCCAGAGGTTTGGCTTCTGTGTTACCCTCAGAACACTGACCTGCAATCACTCCTGCCAGGTACACCAGCCCCACTCGATGGCCTTTGTGGACCATTTCCAAGGGGATGCCCAAAAGGAGCTGCATAACAAGATTCCCCAAGATGTGCTGAACTCTGCAGAGGCAAACACAGTTGTCAAATGTTATGATTAAACCAAGCAGCTCTTTCCTTGGGAAACTGATGGACATCAGTGCATTGTTTCCAGGAAAGGACTAGCTTCACCAGCATTCTATTTTCTAATTTTTTTTTTTTTTTTTTTAAGCAGGAGAACCTTTATTTTACATAAAATCTTGCGTGGAGTCTCGATATATAAAGCAGATAAAAGGGTATTTTAGAAGTATAAATTTATTTTATAAGTTCTGTTTTTGTAACAGTTATTTATAATGTCAGACAGATCAATGAGGCTGTTTAAGGAACATAAATGTGAAGTTAGGGAATTGAGATGACAATTGCTATCTTATGTCACCCTTGGCATCTGATCTTGTTTCGGTTGCATGCTATAGAGAAAATCCTAATTCACTCATATTGAGTTCCAATTTTAATAGTTGTTAAAACAGCCATTCTCACAATCTCAGGAGGTTCTTCAGTAGACAGAGATGGCAAGAGAAACCTCATTCCCACTTCTCCACAAAAACATTGACCTAGTAATACTAGCTAAAGTTGGCATGTCCAGTGCACTAAAATGTAGCATATAACATATTTAAGTGCAGGTGGTTCTTATTACGGTTTTTAAATAGATAAAATTATATTTTAAAATGAAATTCATATTATTGCTTGTCAGACACCAGAAGTGTATCTGCAGAATCTCAGAAGAAAATTGGAAAAATTCCCGCGTGAGAGTAAACTATAATTTAGTAGCTATGTAACACAATGTTTTAATTTTTTAAAGAGATTTCAGATTAAACAAAAAATTCAAATAAATAAATAAGCACTGCATCTTCCACAAAGTCCAGCAGCTTTTGTATTAGTTTTAGGTTTGTTCTTTTACATTATAATTTACTTAACAAATATTCAGCATATCATTGAAGGCTACCTGGGGGTATCTTTCAGAAATGATTACTTACTTTTTACAGTCAAGTATGCACTCACCCACAGCTATCAGTATCTAAGCCACCTTCAAAGACATATGAGGGGTTACATGTAATTCAGCACAGAATAGTCTAGCAAGGACTGTTTTTTGGAGACCTCAGACATAAAGGAGATGATGAAATATCGGCTTCTGAATTTGAACAAGAAGATCAAAGAAAACCATCCTGTTCTCTGGGAATTGTTTGAGGACAAGGTGACTGAGTTATCTAGCACTGCTATAACAGAAATACCACAAATGAGTGGCTTTAACAAACAGAAATTTATTTTCTCACAGGTTAGGAGGCTAGAAGTCCAAATTCAGGCCGCTGGCTCTAGGGAAAGGCTTTTTGTCTCTGTCGGCTCTGGAGGAAGGTCCTTGTCCCTTCTGAGCTTCTGCTCCTGGACCATCTTCATGTGGCTTGGCATCTCTCTTCCCCCATCTCTGCTTCTCTTGCTTGTTTAATCTCTTTTATATCTCAGAAGAGATTCAGTCAAGACACACCCTACACTAATCCTGCCTCAGTAACATAACACAGACAATTCGGTCTCAAATGAGATTATAACCAGAGGCATAGAGGTTAGGATTTACAACATATATTTTTGGGGGACACAATTCAATCCATAACAGTGACCAATAGCACAAAACGCCCCCCAACATCGCCTGTCTTGCAATCCTAAGCACTCTTTCTGCTGGTCAGTAGCAAGACTGGAGGTGGCAAAAAAGGTGAAATCCTTTCATATCCCAAAATAAAAATACTGATTTTTTTTCATTCAAATCTTATACACCCAGCAAGATCCAGTTCAAATCCATATTATCCACGAAGCCATCCCTACTTTGGTATTTTCCTCTTCGTATGTTGGTGGTGGTGGTGTGTACCATCAAATCAGTTCTGATTCCTAGCAACCCTGTGAGAGAGAGTAGAACTGCCCCATAGGGTTTCATAGGCTGTAATCTTCACTGGAAGGAGCACTGGTGGTGCAGTGGTTAAGTACTCAGCTGCTAATCAAAAGGTCGGCAGTTAGAACCCACCAGCCACTTTTCGGGACAAAGATGTGGCAGTCTGCTTTGGTAAGCATTACAGCCTTGAAAACCCTATGAGGCAGTTCTACTCTGTCCTACAGGGTCACTGTGAGTCAGAATTGACTTGACAGCTATGGGTGTTGGAATCCTTATGGGAACAAATTGCCGGGTCTTTTCTCCTGTGGAGCCACTGGTAGGTTTAAACTGTCGACCTTTTGGTAACCAAGCGCTGAACTATTGTGCCACCAAGGCTCCTTTCTCTTTATGTAACTATAGCTAATCCAACATCCATTTCCTTCATACCTTTTCTACCTCCTCTATCAAGACTGGAAGAACTAATGTCAACTCAACCTCTCTAATAGCTAGGGTTAGCCATATCAGGTGGTTCTGGCCAATGAAATGCAAGTAAAAGCACTATTGGAAGATTTTAAGCAAGTTTTTGCGTTAACAAAAGGGATGGATGCACTAATGCCTGGTGCTACACATTCCTTCTTCTTTCCTTGAATGCAGAGTTACAGCAACCAACTTGCAACCATGAGAAAAAGGCCAAGGGACGAGACATGCCGGCACAGGAGCAGACCCTGGCTTTAGTGAAGTGCTGAACCAGCCACCTACCTCTGGAGTTACTATATGGGGAAAAAATCAGTCTCTGTTTGTTTAAGCCACTGCTAGATTTTTTTTGTTATTTCCATCCAAAAGAATTCTTAACTTATACAACCCCATAGATGGCATGTCCTACACAGCCAGCTTTTTGAGTGTTTATCATGGAGCCCTGGTGGCACAGTGGTTAACAGCTCAGCTACTAACCAAAAGATAGGCAGTTTGAATCCACCAGCCGCTGCTTGGAAACCCAATGGGGTAGTTCTACTCTGTCACGTAGGGTCCCTGTGAGTTGGAATTGACTCAGTCGCTGCGAGTTTGATTTGTTTTTTTTTTTACTATGTGTCAGGCACTGTGAAAATTATAACTACTGTTTCATTTAATCCCACAACCTTATGAGGTAAGCACTATATTGTCCCATTTTATAGATAAGGAAACTGAGGCACAAAAATTAATTACTGTATACTTTAATACTATGTTGCCTTACATTTCTATTTAGCTGACTCTTTCCTCTTATAATTTTTAAGTCTTTGAGGGCGGGAGCCACATTTGCTCAGAACATACTGTCAAATGGAAAACCAAAATGTGGAAATGTCTACAGAAACTGGGTGTTCTTAGTGATTCTGTCCCTGACTTTTCTGAGCCCTGTGTCCTGCCATGGATGCCTATTTAGCCACTGGCCAAAGGATCATCTTTTCAGGTCCAGGGCAGGGTAGTTCCCATAGATGAGGCTGGCTTCACCTGAAGGTACAGGAGTCCACCAGAGAGGTGAGGCCAGAAGCAAGCTCCTCACTGTCTGCAGTGAGCATGGTGGGTCGTGAATTTTGAGCTAGGTCGAGAAAGGCTACTAACATTTAAGAAACTGTAAGCAAATTAAAAGGCAGGCCCTGTATTTCCTATTGTCCTTATTATTCCAAGTGGATAACAGTATTACACACTCATTAAAATGTTCATAAAATAATTTTTTAAAAGGCTGGGGTGTGGGAACTAGTGATTCAGTTCCACAATTTCATTACCTAAAGGAACATTTAAAAAGCAGTTGCTGTGTAGTCAGCCCAACTCATGATGACCTCATGCATGTCAGAGTAGAACTGTGCTCTATAGTGTTTTCAATGGCTGATTGATTTTTGGGGAGTAGACTGCCAGGCCTTTCTTCCGAAGTACCACTGGGTAGACTTGAACTGCCAATCTTTCGGTTAGCAGCCAAGCACATTACCATTTGCACCACCCAGGGACTCCTAGGGAGCATTTAAGAACATCAAAAAACTAGGAAAGCGTAGTTTTGGTTTTTAACGGTTTAGTCTCTTCTCATTCATAAACCCAAACCAAATCCATTGTCATCGTGTCGATTCCGACTCATAGCAACCCAATGGGACAGAGTAGAACTGCCCCATAGAGTTTCCAAGGAGCGCCTGGTGGATTCAAACTGCTCACCTTTTGGTTGGCAGCTGTAGCACTTAACCAGTATGCCACCAGGGTTTCCTTCTTGTTCATAGTCCTATGTAAATACCAATATCGGGAAGTGATAATGCAATATAAAGAACACAGAACTTAGAGTAAGTCATATTGGTTCAGGGCCTAGGGTTGCTGTGAGGATCAAACAAGACTGTGGACATGAAAATGATTTATCAATACTAATGCACTAAATGAACGTTAGGGGTTATAATGACTTATAGTCCCTTCTGACATCAGTGATGTAACTGTCACTCCTTACCCAGCATGTACTAGCATGTATGAGATAAACCTCCAGGCTTCTTCCCTCTTGTTGGGAGAGTAGATAAAGGGGCTCTTCAAGATGCCGGTGTCCAAGGTGATCCACTGTTTCTGAGGCTTCCACACTGCATAGTAAATAAACACTGCCAGCTGACAGGGAGAGGCAGACATGAATGTTAACCCTCCTTCTCCAGGAAAAAAAAAGACAAAACAAAACCCATTGTCATGCAGTTGATTCCGACTCATGGTGACCCCATGTGTTACAGAGTAGAACTGAACTAGCTAGGGTTTTCTTGGCTATAATCTTTACAGAAGCAGATTGCCAGGCCTTTCTTCCAAGGTACCACTGGGTGGGTTCAAACCACCGATCTTTCAGTTAGTAGATAAGCACAAACCAGTTGCACCACCCAGGGACCTTTCCTTCTCAAGAGCTGGCCCAGGTAAACCCATGAGCCGTAACTCTCAAGTGGGCCACTCCATAGCATGTGCTCAGAAGATGACAGGGATTTTCTCACCATCCCCCAATGTGGTCATATCCTACTTCTAGTATTTAGGCACAGCTGTGGGCCAAAGTGTAAAGGAGACTCCCTTTTCCGAACCCTTCCCCCATTCTTTCACACCCTGCTCTCTGGCACTATGTTCTCTTATCTATCCCCCCCCATCTCAAATGCCCACTGCATTCATCTTCCCACCCCCACCACTTGCTCTTTCATTCACAACTTAGTGTAAAACTATGTCAATGATCATTTCCAAGGAATAGAGTAAGGAAACGGAAGAACAGTCACTTTACAGTGGAGAAACTTGGCAAACACTACATTAATAACCAAGTGAAGGTTATCGTCACCAGTGATGTCACGTGGATATCATGTACCCCTGATGTGATATGGTGAGAAGGGCACTTCACATCCATGGTATTCTTCCCCAAACCCATAGCCGCAGTCTAATCCTGAGAAAAACATCAGATAAACTCAGATTGGGGGGCATTCCACAAGCTACCTGACCAGTACTCCTCTAGACTGTCAATGTCATGAAAAACAAAGGAAGCCTGAGAAACGGCCATAGCTGAGAGGAGGCTGGGGAGACATGACAGCTAAATGCAATGTGATAATCTAGCTGGATCCTAGAACAGAGAAAGGACATTAATGGAAAAACTGGTAAAATCTATATAAAGTAGTGTTGTACCAACGTCTGTTTCTTAGTTTTGACAAACGTAACATGGAAATAAGATGTTACCAGTATGGGGAAAGTGGGTGAGGGGTATACAGAAACTGACTGTATTAGTTTTGCAACTTTTCTATAAATCTAAAATTATTCCAAAACAAAAGTTTATTTTTAAAACGTTAATAAAAAGTTAAGTCAATGCATTGATCCCTCTGTAAGGGGCAGATATCTCAGCATCTGCTCCATGACCCTTTTGAGGAAAACTGCCTTCTCTGTGGCACTCACTGTCTAGGCCAGCTTACTCTGTACAATGTGACCTTACTCCATTCTTCTCCAATCCCCCGGCCCACCCCTACACTGACTGGACCATGGCCAGGCTAATCGATATACAGGGTGATCTGTAGCCTGCGCGGTCAGTGTGAAAACATAAGTGGGGCAGACAAAAGCAGTTAGCAATGAGAGCAAAATCTGGAAGGATAACATGAGACAGGGTGCAGAGAAGCAGAAAGAATCCAGATACAGATCCAAAGCAGATGCTTATCTGAAGTATGCTTATCTTTATCTGAGCTAGCAGAGGCTTGGTCCCTGATAAGGAGGTTGAGGCATCAGTTGGAAGTAGGAGGATTACATAAGGTTTTTCCTAATGTCCCTGAAAGGTCCTTGGGTGGCGCAAAATGGTTTGCACTCAGCTACTAACAAAAGGTAGGCAGTTGGAACCCACTCAGCGGCACCACAGAGAAAGGCCTGGCAGTCTGCTTCTATAAGATTACAGCCAAGAAAACCCTGTGGAGCAGTTCTACTCTGTAACACATGGGGTCACCATGAGTCAGAATCCACTCGACGGCAATGGGTTTGGTGTAATGCTGCTGAAGTCACACCCGACAATCAACCATGCTCTGCCACTTCTCTTATGAGACATCATGGTGTGGGACAAAAGCTAGATGTAATGAGGCTCATGAGAAGCCCAGTCACTATGACATGGGCGAGTCATTCCACCTCTCTGGGCCTTGCATTCTCTGGAAAAAAAAAGGGCTAACAAGATCAGAGTCTGAAAACACACTTAACGCTAAAACTCCCCCACTTCCTTGCCCAAAGCAGATGTGGTGAGAGGATCCCATTTCCTTTCCTACTGAAATTTGGAGGCGGCTATTGTTGCTGTTAAATGTTGACAAGTTGGTTCTGACTCATAGCGACCATATGTACAACAGAATGAAACACTGCCCAGTCTTGCACCATCCTCACAGTCGTTGCTATGTTTGAGCCCATTGTTGCAGCCACCATGTCAATCCATCTTCTTGTAAACATATGGCTCCAGAGAGACCTTACCAATCAATAAACTTTGACTCATAAGATCAGTCCAATTTGCAACGCCAAGATTAGCTGGTCTCTAAGCCTCCCATCAGTTAAATGAAACAAAGCCATGGAAATTAAAGTCACTGCTGGGCAGGGAATTTGTTAGAAAAAGGAAACTCAACCCTTGGCTGAAAGTGATGGGGAGCATAGGAAAAGCCTGGAAAGGGACCTCTGGAGAGGGTGAGGTGGAGGTTCTGTGCCTGCTGTACTTGTCCCCAGCAAGCTCTCTTCTTGAATGTTTTCCAGTCTATTATCTAGATCTAGGTCTAACCTCAGAGTTTGTTTGCAATTTCCCAAGGACTTAAGCTAATGCCCACTACCCAAGACATTTACCTCTGCAAGGCTGATGGAGATGATGAACACAGGGGGTGGGAAGCAGTTAGCTCTTTCCAAGTATGTTCTTCGTACCTTTTCAGGAAGCATCCATTTTGAGACAATCCTGTGAACTTTTTTATCTTTGGAGAGAGCCTTACCTCCCCCATCCTCTCCTATTTTCTTTTCTTCCTCCAGCTCTTCTTTCATCTCTCTCTCCATATTCAGATTCACACTCTCCATCTCCAAATCATGAGCACCAGCCATTGTCCTAGATCCTCCCTCCACCTGAAAGGGACATGAATGTCAGGGAAAAACAAATAATTCTATAGCCTTTGGCATGGAAACCACCATCATTAGTTTCCAAGCCATGTGTTAGTAGAAGGCAGCTTAAGATGATTAAAATGGTCTCTCTGCTCAAGCACTTATATTCAAGCCAGATTTAGAAGAGGACGTGGAAGGAGGGATATCATTGCTGATGTCAGATGGATCATGGATGATAACAGAGAATACCAGAAAGATGTTTACCTGTGTTTTATTGAGTATGCACGGGCACTCAACTGTGTGGATCATAACAAATTATGGATAACATTGCAAAGAACCAGAATTCCAGAATACTTAATTGTGCTCATGCGGAAACTATACATAGACCAAGAGGCAGTCGTTCAAACAGAAGGGGATACTACGTGGTTTAAAATCAGGAAAGGTATGCGTCAGGGTTGTATCCTTTCACCATACTTACTCAGTTGGTATGCTGAGCAAAGAATCTAACAAACTGGACTATCTGAAGAAGAGTGCATTTTCAGGATTGGAGGAAGACTCATTAACAACCTGCAATATGCAGGTGGCACAACCTTTGCTGATATCGGAGAGGACTTGAAGCACTTACTACAGAAGATCAAAGACTACAGACTTCAGTATGGTTTACACCTCAACAAAAAGCAAACAAAACTCCTCACAACTGGACCAAAAAGCAACACCATGATAAACGGAGCAAAGATTGAAGTTGTCAAGGATTTCATTTTACGTGGATCCACAATCAATGCTCATGGAAGCAGCAGTCAAGAAATCAAATGACGTATTTCATCGGGCAAATTTGTTGTAAAAGATTTCTTTAAAGTGTTAAAAAGCAAAGATGTCACCTTGAGGACTAAGGTGTGCTGCCTCACCCAACCATGATATTTTCAGTTGCTTCATATGCATTCGAAAGCTGGACAATGGGTAAGGAAGACTAAAGAAGAATTGACCCCTTTGAATTATGGCATTAATGAAGAATACTGAATATGCAATGGACTGCCTGAAAAATGAACAAATCTGTCTTGGAAGAAGTACAGACCGAATGCTCCTTAGAAGCAAGGATGGAGACTTTGTCTCACATGCTTTGGACATGTTATCACGAGGGATCAGTCCCTGGAGAAGGATATCATGCTTGGTAAAGTAGAGGGTCAGCAAAAAGAGGAAGACCCTTAACAAGATAGATTGACACGGTGGCTACAACAATGAGCTCAAATATAGCCAACGATTGTGCAAGACCAGGCAGTGTTTCGTTCCGTTATACAGAGGGTCGCTATCAGTCGGAACCAACTGGACAGCACCTAACAACAACAAAGTCCTGTTGTCTCCCCAAATGAGGGAGAAAGTTCCCAGGGGTCACTTCTGGTTTCTTCTATTGCCACCACCCAAAGGGGTGGACTGGAGCATTGGAATGGCAACCCTACTTCATATGCACCTTTCTTACCCTCTGCCACTGACTTTGACTCCACTATTAGTGTAAGATGGCTTTGCCATGAGATGATTTATGTCAGAGCCCAAACCATGCACATTGCTTAATTAAACTCAGCTTTGTCTAGCTTAAGTGAGCAGTCTCAATTCCCTTCTTAGTTTCATCTTGCTTCTACTCCCAGCCCAAACATAGGTCTCTGGTTTCTGATTCAGAATACAATATTATTAATTGAGCATCTACTATGTGTCAGGCACTGTGCTGGGGGTTTTCACCTCCATTGACTCCACAACAATCCCAGGATATAGGGATTTTTTTTTTTAATTGTGCTTTAAGTGAAAGTTTACAATTCAAGTTAGTCTCTTATACAAAATTTATACATACATTGTTTTGTGACCCTAGTTACTCTCCCTATACTGTGACAGCACACTCTTCCTTTCCACCCCGGATTTCCCGTGTCCTTTCAACCAGCTCCTGGCCCTCTCTAAGTTCTCATTTCACCTCCAGACAGGAGCTGCCCATTTAGTCTCATGTAGGAGATGGGGAATTTTATCCCCATTTAAAGATCAATAAACCGAGCCCCCCTCCAAAAACACAAAAGACTAAATTACTTTCTCAGGATTCAAACTCAAGTCTTCTCTTTCTAACTTATCAGTATTCTTTCTAAAACACCACAGGTGCCCATTCTGTATCAGACTTGAGTTAAGAAGGCCATCCCTTCCTGGTTCTCCAGGTACAACATCAGCGTCCTTGCTAACTCACATCGTCCCTACAACTTTCTGACACCATCAACCCTTGGCTGTGTTCCTACTAATTTCCACACCTATGAATCTTTTCCTCAGCATTCCCTTGAACTCAATTCTCAGCATTCAATTATCTAAGCATTTATTCAACAAGTATTTATTGAATACCTGTTAGGTATCAGGCCACCATCGCTATCCTCAAAGTGTTTACAATCTAGTAAAGGAGACAGATGTCAAATAAAATTTACACAAACAATTGTATAATTAGAGTTGTGCTAGATGAAACCAAGCAGGTGTACAGGATCCTGAGCCAGCATGTATATAAGAGTGAAGCCTACCTACGTGCACTTCCCTATTTCTGTGCCATTGTGCTATCTGGAAGGTCTTCTTCCTTTATGTTGTTTTATTTTACTCCTGGTTAAACTACTTAAATTACTGTCTTAGTCATCTAATGCTGCTATAACAGAAATACCACAAGTGTATGACTTCAACAAAGAGAAATTTATTCTCTCACGGTCTAGGAGGCTAGAAGTCCAAATTCAGGGTGCCAGCTCTAGGGGAAGGCTTTCTCTCTCTATTGGCTCTGGAGGAAGGTCCTTGTCATCAATCCTCCTCTGGACTAGGAGCTTCTCAGCGCAGGAATTCCAGGTCCAAAGAACACGCTTTGCTCCTGGAGCTGCTTTCATGGTGGTTTGAGGTCCCCATGTCTCTCTGCTTGATTCTCTCTTTTGTATCTCAAAAGAGATTGATTTAAAACCCAATCTAATCTTGTAGATTGAGTCCTGCCTCGTTAACATAACTGCTGCTATTCCCACCTTATTAACATCATAGAGGTAGGATTTACAACACATAGGAAGATCACATCAGATCACAAAATGATGGACAATCACATAATACTGGGAATCATGGACTAGCCAAATAGACACACATTTTTAGGGGGATACAACTCAGTCCGTAACAATCACTCAATCAAATGTTTTGTGGTCAAAACAAAACAAAAAAAGGCTGGAATATATGAAGAGAAAAGATCGTGTTGCAGAGTAATACGTAGAGTACAATCCAAATTTTGTAAATAGTAATGCACTAATACACATAGGGAGCCCTGGTGGTGCCGTGGTTAAGAGCTCAGCTGTTAACCAAAAGGCTGGCAGTTTGAATCCACCAGCCGCTGCTTGGAAACCCTGTTGAGCAGTTCTACTCTGTCCTGTAGGGTCACTATGAATCGAAATCCACTCAATGGCAACGGGTTTGGTGTTTATTTATTTATTTTGGTTTAATACACTTAGAGGAAGAAATCTGGAGAATTAGCCATGGTTATTTCTGCAGGGTAGGATTCTGCTGGATTTTTCCCCTTCATGTAGAAGCTGGGAAGAAGTCTGGTGGCACAGTGGTTAAGCACTAGGTTGCTAACCTAACGGTTGGCAGTTCGAAGCCATCAGCCACTGCAAGGGCTAACAATATGGCACTGCTTCCATAGAAATTCCCCAACCTATTGCTGAGTTGATTCTAACTAACAGCAACCCAGAGTAGAACTGCCCCATAGGGTTTCCAAGAAGCAGCTGGTGGATTTTGAACTGCTGACGTTTTGGTTAGCAGCCGTAGCTTACTGTAGCTTTTAACCATTGCACCACCCGGGTTCCAAATGTATAGAGACCAAAGTTTTTTAGTGGTTACCAGGGTCAGGAGGGAGGAGGGAGGGGATATACTGTTTAGGAAGCACTGAGTTTCTGTTTATCGTGATGGGAAATTTGGCAATGATTATGGGTAATGGCTGCACGACATGATTAATGTAATTGATATCACTAAATTGTACACCTGAAAAATGTTGAGTTGACAAATGTTGTGTTATATATTTTTTTACAACAATTAAAAAAAAAAATTTTTAAAGCCCTGGACCTGTTACCTAGAGGAAGCCCTAGAGCATTGTCATTAAAAGCATGAGCCATGGAGCCAGATAGCTAGGATTAAAACACAGCTCCACCACATACCAGCCGTGTGAACTTAGGTAAGTCACTTAAATTCTCTGAGACACAGATTACATTTTTTTAAATTGTGGTAAAATATACATAACATAAAGCTTACCATTTTAGGCATTTTAAAGTATACAATTCAGTGGCATTAAGTACATTCACAATGTTCTGTAACCATTACCACTATCTAGTTCCCGAACTTTGTCACCATTCCAGAAGGAAACACATTACTCATTAAGCAGTCACTCCCCATTCTCCCTTCCCTCTACCCTCTGGCAACCACTAATCTACTTTCTGTCTATATGGATTTGCCTATTCTGGATATCATACAATACCTATGTGATCTTTTGTGTCTGGCTTCTTTTACTTAGCATAATGTTTTCAAGATTATGCTAAGTGAAAGTAATTAGAGCATGTATCTGTCCTAGAGTAAAAACTCTCAGACTCTGTTGAAGCAAAATAAAAGGATTTATTGAAAGCCAAGAATCATTCGAATGGGGAATCATGAAAATCTTAATAAGGGAAGCCCAGGAATCCAAGGTAGGGCTGTGACAGAATCCCAGTTATAGGGCAAAATCAGGAAGTACAACCCACACGTCTATCAGTTTGTCATACTGTGGTGGCTTGCATGTTGCTGTGATGCTGGAAGCTATGCTACCAGTATTTCAAATACAGCAGGGTCACCCATGGTGGACAGGTTTCAGCTGACCTTCCAGACTAAGACAGATTAGGAAGAAGGAACTGGTGGTCTACTTCTGAAAAAATTAGCCAGTGAAAACATTATGAATAGCAGTGGAATATTGTCTGGTATAGTGCCAAAAGATGAGCCCCTCAGGTTGAAAGGAACTCAAAATACGACTAGGAAAGAGCTGCCTCCTCAAAGTAGAGTCAACCTTAATGACGTGGATGGAATCAAGCTTCCAGGACCTTCATTTGCCGATGTGGCATGACTTAAAATGAGAAGAAACAGCTACAAACATTCACTGATAATCAGAACGT